GATCATAGAAAGCCAAACTATAGGAACTTTTAACGTTATTGCTAATCCAGGGTACAGTGTTTATTTTCATTCGTATGCATTTGTTTTTTCAAAGCATCAAAGTAGTACGTTTAAGGAATATAATTTTTCTACTTAATTGATTTTTATTAATGAACATAAGTGATTCTTTTACTTTAGGAGTTTTTTTATGTGTTTTTAAAGTTGTATATCTTTAATGTCTACATATCTATATTTACATATTTATATATTATTTTGTCATATATTACTGTTTAAGAAATCATTCCAAAACTTAGTGGCTAAAACAACAGTAAATAATATCTCAGACAGTTTCTGTGAGTCAGGAATTCAGGTGCAGCTCAGCTAAGTGTTTCTGGTCACAGTCTCTCAAGAGATTACAGTTAAGATGTTGGCTGAGGCTGAATACTGCAGTCATCTGAATTGAAAACTTGACTGGAACTGGGGGATATGCTTTAAAGATGGCTTACTTATGTGGCTGGGAAATTGGTCTTGGCTTTCTGCAGGAGAACCCAGTTATTGGCCACATGGACCTCTTGAGTGTCTTCATTACATGGCAGCTGACTTTCCCTAGAGTAAGGGAACTGAGAGAACAAAGTAGAAATGGCAAATGTTTTTATGACCTAGCCTTGGGGATTGAATACCATTACTTCCGCTGGATCTTGTGATTCACACAGACATACCTGATACTGTGCAGGAGGGGGCTCCACCAGGGTATAAATACCACCAAAGTGAGGGTCACTAGGTCTTTTTAGAGGCTGGCTATCACTATATATATGTGAGTTTATTGTGTATGTATGCGTGTGTGTGTGTATGCAGGCGTGTGTAATTTATTACCTCTCCAGTCCCAGAGACTCTATGATAGACAGAATTTCTAAAATATCCTCCCAGAGATGTTCTGCTGTAATCCCTGGATTCTCTGAATATGATGGGCCATCACTTCCATGGTTATGGTATATTATACGGCACCATTGACTTTAAAATAGGGAAATTATCCCAATCTAATTCCATGAGCCCTTCAAAACAGTGGGCTTTCTCTGGCTAAAGAAGAAGGGGGAACCAGAAAGATTCAAAACATGAGGATTCAAAACATGAAGATGTAAGGGACCATGTGAGAAGGAATGTAAGTGGCCGTTAGGAGCAACAAGTAGCCCTCAGATGACAGCCGAAAAAGAAACAGCTCAGACCCACAACTGCAGAGAAGTGGATTTTGCCAACAACCTGAATGAGCTGGGAAGTCGAAACTCCTCCCAACCTCCAGATAGGAGTCTAGCTCAGCTGACACTTTGATGTTAGCCTCGTGAGACTGAGCTGAGAACCCAGTCAAGCCCATCAGGACTGCTGACCTACAGAACTGTGAGATAATAAACAGGTTTTGTTTTAAGCTGTGAAATTTGTGATAATTTGTTACCTAGCAGTAGAGAGCTAATACAGATATCAGTGGAGGTTACTAAATGATTGCATTGTATGAACTCTGTTTCTGGTTAAAAGGTCAAAACTAGAGTTCTGGATATCAGGTTAGATCTGGTAGAGGTAAGGCCACTAGTTGAATAAACTTAGACTAGGCCCAGAGATGACTGGGGCAGTAAGAATAAATCTGGAAACATTCAACCGTCATTTTTATAGCTACTCTTTCCTGACTCTAGCTTCAGAATCCTCTAATTTATTTATCATCAGTTTTGATTTATGTGAACTTCACTGAATTTGCGTATATTCAGTTACAGCACCAAGATTAAAAGTGGAACTAGAGAAGTGCTACTCATGCCAAAAGCAGAAGCAGCAGAGGAGAAATCAAAGAGAAACCAACTCTGCTGAATCAGTAATGGAAGTGAGCTACAGGGCTTCTTCCCATTCCCCGAGAACGTCAGATTCCTTACTTGCGGAATATATAAGCAGATAATTCTGCATCTGTTATAACTGAATATTGGTAGCAAAGATATGTTTGAAGTTTAAACTTTAGAAGTTTACATTATGTGGAGTTCAAACCATGTAATGGTAGCCTTCCCCTGTGAGATAATACAGATCAGATCAGTGTTTCTCAATCCTTTTTTCATTATTGCTCCCTAAGGAGCTTTTCAAACATTTTTTTTTCCTTAATCACCCCCCATCCCGGCTTGAGATTTTAATACCACAGATATACTGTAACTCAGTTTATGTACTGTATGTGTATCTGTGCTTTATATATAAAAAGAGTAAAATTATTCTCCCTCCCTAATCAAAACCAAGTTTCACCCTTATGGTTAGTATTACCCATGCTGAAAGTGTATGGTTAAGATGCTAATGTGATTAGGTAAAATTAAGATTGTACTTAAAGGGTTCATCAAAAAGGGTATTTTTATTTTGTAATCCGGAGATTACAGGACTAGCGAACTGCCCCCAACTCGAGTCAACAAAAAGAGATGGAACATCTGCATGTCTTAGTTCAAGAGTATCTCTGGAAGAGTAAACCTGGAAGCACTGCCAGATCTTTACATTTGACAGTGATGATTATACCTAGATCCTTGCTCTAAATAATAAGAAACAATGTAGCACATTTGTACAGTATTCGTACTGAGAGTTATTTCCATGCTTTATTCATGAGTGAGGTGGTTTTGCTTTGAAAGTGACTATCCTACTGTCCCCCAAAAGGATAGAGGCAGGGTGACAAGAGTCCTATTTTTGCATCCTGATTTTTCCTCAGAACAGTTGAATATTATAGCTTTATTTCTTTCTCATTGGCAGAGTTAGCTGTGGACTACAAGATCATAGGATATAATAAGGCGGGGGGTTATAAACTTAAATGCCTACAATGGCCAGGCATGTAATAGAAATGCAGAAACAGTGCAGTATAAGACATAAATAAATGCTTTCTTAGTCAGTTTTGGTTGCTTACACTGCTTATAACAGCAACAGATATTTCTTTTTCTTGCTCATAGATCTATAGATTGGTCAAGGTAGGTCTCATCTTCAAGCTGCAGTCAGGTTCAGTTCAGCTCCATGTACAATAGTGGCAGGGAGAGATTTCTAATTGGTGTTCCTTGAATATAATCCACTGACATGATTTGTTTATCCTATTTCGTGTTTTGAAAGGCAAGATAATCAGGGTTCTGTCCTAATACAGGAATTTCGTATATGTGATTGATTGGATCATTGCTTCTAATTCATCACTCACTTCCTGATTTAGAAATAAATATCTTTCTCCATAAAGGTTATGTAAGAGTCCTTCATATGTTATATGATTATTATATGAATGACTATGTTTCTTGATACTGTTTGATTTTTATTTTAAACTCTGAAACTTGGGACACTTGTCAGTTCCATGTTCTCCTGCTTCTTTCTGTTCTGTTCCTTTCCCTTCTCTTTTTCTATCCCTTCCCATTTACTTCAAAACCAGCAGTTGTCCGTAGGAAATAAGGTACTGGTGGAGAGAATCCAAGATATAAAAATCTTCACATGTTGATGTAAAATGATTTAAGATCGAAACTTCTTTCACAAAGCAAAGTGCTACCTGCTCTGAGATTATTTGCTTTTTGTTTGTTTTAGGATTTAGAGAGTTAGTTATTTTTAAAATGAATTTTGTATATCTAAAGACCTAATCATAATTCTACATAATTGTAGAGCAAATGGAGACAAGTAGTTAGATGCTGAAGTTTCCACATGCTCTTTTCTCAGATCAGAACCAGGCAGTCCTTAAATTGTCTTCTGCAAAGTACTGGTTTGGCTGTTTGCCCCATCCTGTTGGCTCCCACCTCGAATGTGGAGAGAATTAACTTGGTAAGATTTTAGGTCCTAATCAGTCTGGGTTTCATGTTCATCTCAATCATTTAATCTCATTTATGATTAAAATGACTAGGCTTCGTTTTTACTTTTGTACAATTAGACTTTTTAAACTTGAGAATAATTCTCTTTCTTCTTAACCAATTACTAATATTTACTTCCTTGTTGATATTTGAGTGATCTTCATTTTTGGTTATTTTCTTTCAGTTCTTTTACTTTTCCCAGGCAAGTTGAAACTCAGGCTCTAACTATAAGAAGCTAATTGTATTTTACTGGTGTCTTCTGTGTGTAAATGTTGTATTCACTTTGCATTTCCAAGAAGCAAATAACTTAGACTCTTCTGGTTTGGCATGTTCACTCTTTCTAACCACCACTGGAGCTGAACCTGGGAACTGAACACAACTTGAAATTTTGTGGTTTGGCTACTAGAATTCAGAGCTGAACTATCTGAGGCTAAAAACTGTTAATGTTGAAATGTTTTAACCCACTAAGTAAACCTGACAAAATGAAATTTAATTTTTATGTAGATGTCAGATATGTGAAAACTGCTTAAGGATGGTACCAATGTTGTCAGTTTTTATAAAAACCTGATTGGTAAAGCGTAGAATTTCTATAGTACTCTGTAGTGAAATGGGGAGTGACTGTGAAATTAATCTGAATCACAATGGCTTCTTTGGTTATCTCACTGCAAAGATTGTAAAAGAGTTGTTGAATTCAAAGATGGGTGAAGCATTTTTTAAATGAAAAGACAGGATACATCTAATTTGCTGACCTTTTTTATATGACAAGTGGCTATGGTGTATGCTTCATAGCAGATTAAAAATCAACCAACCAACCAGTGGAACACTCTTAATCCATCCCGTCAAAGTAAAGGCAATATTTTAATAAGGAGTGAGAAAGCAAATGCCTTTTTAAAGACAGAGATTAAAATATAGAGAGAGTGTTTTTTTAAGTCGCTATTTGGAAATTTTTCTGTTATGTGATTTTCGTTGTCAGAAATATGTGTGTCCAATGAAAACTTTGCTATCTGCACACTTTAAAACTTGTTACAATATTTTCTATACTGTTAAAAACCTTCCAAATAAAGATTTTTAATTGATTTTTAAATCAATTGTTAAAAAATGTAAAAATATATCTTAATCGACATGAGGGTAGATAGAAATTTATTAGCCAAAATTCAACAAAAACTTTTGCTAACTGATAGACATTATTGAAAAATGAAAATAGTGATTTAGTAAGTACAATAAATAATATATTTCTTAAATTTAATTTCAGTGCTTGCATTTTTGCAATTATCCCTTTCTCAACTGTACAACCATTACAGTTAAGTACTGAAATAAATAGAGCATAGGACCTGACATTTCAGTCACAGAACTGCAAAATATTTAAATCAATATTTAAAAAGTAATATAATTTCACTTATTTTAATTATTATCATTATTTCACTAAAAGTATTAATGTTTTTATGAGAGTGAAAAGATCTATACATCTAAGATATGAAACTCTTAAAATACTTATCTTTTATTCTTTTTTAGCCCTATTTTATTTTATATATGTTTTATACTGTATAGAACATATTAGTAAAATAGTATGTATGTAATAAATATGCATTATTGGAAGACCATGCTAAATTTTGTTTGTTTGTTTGTTTTGGCTTATCAGAGTATGTAATCAAAGAAGTTTGGAGATTCCTTTTCACTGATCACTCATGATCTGGCAATCTTATTTGTAGTAACAATTGTTTACTCTTAAAGTTTAAATCATTGTTTTAGAGATTACAAATTAGCACATAGTTTCTAACTTGTGAACTTTTGTTTTTTAATGTTGAGCCTTGATAAATGAAGTTTAGGTTTAGTCTAAGTTCCAAAACAGTGGTTCTTGAAAGTGTAGAACAGCATCGGCATCACCTGGGTACTTTTCAGAAATTTGAATTCTCAGGCCACATCTCAGACCTACTGAACCAGAGATGCTAGTTAACAAGCTGGCCACGTAATCCTAATGCTCACTCGGTTTTGAGAACCACTGGCCTAAATGATTTAGACTCATGCGTTGTCCCTTCTTCTTTCTACTTCATGATGTATCTGAGACAGTTTCTTCATGCCTGTAGTATATCTCAGTCTTAGCTCAGACTTTTTTCATCTCTTCCAGAGATTTTCTTCTCTCCTCCTTCCCTCTTCTGTTCCCACTTCCTATTGTGAAAATTGTTCATTAGTGTCATTTTTCACTAAAGGGATAGCGTTTTGGTTCTTAAAATTTGGATGCCAATGTGACAATTAGCATATGTTTAAAGGGGATATTTTTAACATTTTCATATTAATATTTGTTAAGTAATTCCAGGTGGACTTGAATATGCATGTGATTAACTTCCTATTTTCTATCTATACCCTCTTGATTTCAAATTTTGTGATCTTGAAATACCTTTCTACCAACTAAAATTTCAAAACATACACTTCAAATTAGTAATCACTTAGATTCAACAATTGTTGAATTTTGTTACATTTGCTTTATTATTGCTCTTTTTACACACACATACACATAAGCGCACACACACACACCATTTTTTTGCTGAACCATTTGGTACCAAACTATTCCTCAGTACCCTTTACCTCTAAATACTTTTAAGAATAAAGGTCAAAGTAGCTCTTAAGAAGACTAGTACAAAATTGTTCTGAAAGGCCAATTCATAGCAAATGCTAAACCAATTATTAAAGCCTCTTAAATATTTTCAAGATCCTTCTATAAATGTCTTAATGAGGAAAAGGTATAGAACTCCAAGTTGTGAATGTATAAAATAAATCCTCCAGCCTTTCTCAACTAAAGTTTTCATCTGAACTACAGAATACAGAGGATGATTTGAATGACTATTTTCTTATTTCTCCCAAGGATGGTACATAACCAGTACCAATCCAGATGCATGGGGGTGAAGTTAATTCATTATAGACAATGAATGTATTAGAATGTTCTCCCTGGGAACCCAGGAACCTAGGTTAGTTGGACTGTGTCTGTGGTAAGTTCCTCAAGGATTTTGCTTTGACTAGCTTGTGATGTTTATACAAATAACTTATTTGTTTATGTCTTTATTTATTTAAGATTACAGGTCCACCAGGTTGTGGAAAAACTCAGTTTTGTATAATGATGAGTGTTTTGGCCACATTACCCACCAACATGGGAGGATTAGAAGGAGCTGTTGTGTACATTGACACCGAATCAGCATTTAGTGCTGAAAGGTAGGGGATTTTTTTATTTTCCATTTTAATACTTTAGTTTTGTAACATATATAGCATGTAACATTTTCAAATAGGTTAACGTTTACTTTTTCTTTTTTTTTCCTGAGAACACAGAATGCTGGATACTATTTTAAGGAACTTTCCTTTTCAAATTGACATAGGAAACAATTTCTTTCTGCCTTTTCTATCCCTTTGTTATTGGTTAAAGTGAGATTCCTGGATAAGCTCTGTTTTGCAGAAAGTCAGGAAGAAAGAAGTTCAAGAAAGAGAGGGAGGAATATAAGTGAAAAATGGGGAAAATTAATAAAGACAGAAGGTAAGCTGCTTTGTAATTAATTTCTAGTTGCAAGTAAAATATTAGTGAATAGAAAAATTGCAGATTTCAAACTTTTTTGATTGAGAAGTATTTCATTCTGATCTTTGAAGTAGTATGGTATTAAATGTAAGAAGCACACTGATAGTAAGTATATATATGTTTGAAAAGAAAAGATTTCCTTAGTTTGCCAAGGACCTTTAATATTCTATAGAGAGGCATTTAGTCACTTGTATAATACTGTATACTTGAAGATAAGTCTGGTCCCTCTCCTTTCTTGCTTTGTTTGATATTTATAAACAGGAACACATACAGCTGGAGACTGACTCTATTTTGTTCTCTTAGTCAAGGTATGGGATAGGTCTAGTCTTTAGAGTCTTTCTCTCACTATGTCATCATAAATCAGATCTCTCCCTTATTTCTAAGAATACTGTTTAAATCAAATGATACTCCCTGACCAGATAAGTTTCATATGGATTATTTTGCCTAGAGCTTATTTGCTTTCTTCTGCATCTCTTGGTTATCTATTCTTTCTAAGTATATGCCACTGGCTTGTCAGCAATTTGAATTTGTGTTTCATCTTTGTGTCTTCAAAACCAAGTCCAGTTACAGTGTATAAAATTGCTAAGAAAATGTTTGATAAATGAACGAATTGATAGGTGTTACTCTCAGATCATGAAATCCAAATACCATTTTCTATTAAAAGGAATGAGGCTTCTTTGGGGGAAATGGCTGATTCTAGCTTTAGAGCAAGAAATTTTAAATTGAGTGTGAGACATCATATTAGATAGCAGGGAAATTATCAAAGACTGCTTAAGAAGTGTCCGAAGGACTCAGAAGTCAATCTCTGGAGGCTCCCACTGGCCAAAGATGAAACCAATAGGAATACTAATACAATAGGAATACTAATTAAAATACATGAAATATGTTTAAAATCTATGAGTCTACAATATTAAGAAATGAAAAGCAACTAATTGATCACTCTTGGAGGATTCTGGAGAAGCAACTCATTATTTTGAAATGAGTTTCATTATTTTGAATGAAAAAAAGGAAATCAAACATCTTTTTCTTTTTCCATATGAACTATATTACTGAGTAACATATAGGTCTTTTAATAAAAGCATTCCAGTATAAATGTAGAAGGAATGCTAGAATGTCACCAAATTACAAACTCTAACAATCTAATGGACCTAGGCATTGAATATTGTGATATAATAAGAAATATATATTTTGTCTTTGTCCTGATTCTTGGCAAAATAACTTGTAAAACTTTTGGACTTTGCTGAGCGATAGAAGAGAGAAGAACGGTATTTGTTATTCATAATTTGCAAGTTTATGCTAGTGAGGTGACTCTTGGTGGCCCTAGATAGCTTTAGATGGGGGTTAGTTGCTAGAGGAATCAATCATGTGATTATAGGTTGGAACTTCTGAGAAGGGGAGAGAGGCAGGAAACTGGTTAGTCACCAATGGCCAGTGGTTTAACCAGTCATGCCTATGTAATGGGGTCTCTATAAAAATCTCTAAATAATGAGATTTGGAGAGCTTCTATGTTGGTGAACACATTGAGGTACTGGTGGTGTGCCTGGAAAGGGCATGGGGGCTCTGCTCCCTCCACTCCCCAATGCTCAACTCTATGCATGTCTTCCATTTGATTGATCCTGAGTTGTATCCTTTATAATAAACTGGTAATAGTAAGTAAAGTGGCTTCCTGAGTTCTGTCTAACCAATTATTGAACTTGAGGAGGGAGACAAGGGAACCTCTGATTTATAGCCTGTCAAAAGTACCAGAGGCCCAGGTCTTGGGATCGGTGTCTGAAGCGGGGGCAAACTTGTGGGATTGAGTCTTTACTCTACGGGGTCTGAGCTAATTACTGGTAGTTGGTGTTAGAATTGAATCAACTTGTAGGACACCCAGTTGGTGTCCACAGGGAAATGGAGAATTGCTTGGTGTGGAAAACCCACACATTCGATGTCAGAGGTGTTAAGAGTAAAAACAGTTCATAAACGTAAAAACGTGCTAGCATCATAAAAAGATATCCAGTCACTGTGGTACCTCCTGATGGAAGAACAATCAAACAAGATGTGATCAAGCTTTCAGATCCAACCACCCGTCTACAACATATACAGAGAAGAGAGGATCATGTTGAGCTATACCAGAGGGATGCAGTCAGCAAAATCCGACCTCTGAGAACTGACAGAACAACGTGCTTTCTTTAACAAATAAATCATTAAGATTAAAAAAAGTCTTAGAGGAGGAACTTTTGGATTAAAAGAGACTTAAAGAATGTGTTGCTCTCATCACATTGTACACTTCAAACTTACACAATGTTATACATCAATTATATCTCAATCAAATTGGAGGAAAAAGATGTATTGATCACTTGCAGTATGATGAACTTATTTGGATCTTAAACAAATTAATGGTTTAAAAAAATAGGAGCATAAACATGAGACCACTGGAATATATTTACTACAGCTGGTAATGACATTGGCTCGCTCAGGTTGTCCAAGTGAAAGATACTCTTTAAAATGCCGGTGACTAGCCTTTAACTAACAAGTCAAGTAGGTATTCAATAGCCTATTAGGTAATAAATAGCTAACGTAAAAATAGCCCTTACAAAAGTTCAATAGAACTGGCTTAAAGAATTGAAGGACTAAAGTTATTCTAATAACAGAAATTCAGTTAATGTAATTGGATTCCTGCTTTTTTTATACACATATAAAACTGAGTTTGGGATGTCTTTTTAGCGAATAAACTATTGTCTGATTCCATTGTTATCAGTATCACAGTTCAGAGTAGGTTTAAAATCATGAATTGGGTGAAATCCAGCATAAATACAGTAGTAGGTGACCAGTTTACATTTTCCAAATTAATTTGTGGAGGTTTTTTGTTTGTTTTTCTTTGTCTTCGCATATAGCCTTAATTATCTACTTTTTGCATCCTCCGTATTTACTTATTTCCTTCATTATTTCTTCCTGCCTCTGTGAATATTAGTATTTGCATCAGAGGCAGATTGGAAAATGAAGAGGTAAATTTTAGTCCCTTCATTTGAATTATGCTGCATAATTTGTAATGAGCTCTTATGAAGGTCATTTGAGGATAAGGGTTGATATTTATGTTGTTTTTACTTTTCTAGCCTATTTCTAGGCTTGAAAAGTGTGGTCATCAAGCTGCTACACGGAATGCATTTTGAAGTCTGGTGATAGGGTCAGGTGGGATCAAAGTACCAGCATTCTTTTGTATAGATGCCAGGCTTGGCATTCTTACACTGCTTTCTGGAGTTTGTCATGGTGAGTCAGAGAATGGAGCTGGCTCGGTACTGTCTTGTCACATTTCATTTATGCTATTACAAGACTGCTTGACCCCTATTTGGATTTACTGGGGAAAATTGGTTGATCAGTTGGGAAAGTTTTTTGCTGTAAGTAACTGAATACCCACAGAATAGTGGCTTCAACAAAAAGAGGTTTTTTTTTTTGTTTTTGTTTTTTCACATAACAAGTATATGGTTGCTGTCACTGGTCCTGCTACCAGTGATAAAAGAGAGACTGGTACATTTTTAGGCATCATATCCATTCTGTGCTCAATTCAGTGAGAAGGGAAAGGGCCAGGTATATCTTTTAGCAGGAAAGTATACTTCTTTTTTCAGAGTAGCTGCTTCCTCCCTTTTGCTGATTTCCTTTCTACCCACTGGAATCCTGCAGATTTCTCACTGGGCCACTACTATATGCAAGGGAGGATGGGAAAGTGAGGGGTAACATTGTTATAACAAGCATGATGAGTGTTCTGGGGCTAGTTAGTATTACTGCCTGAATAAAATTAGGGTTCTTATAGCAAGGAAGATATGGAATGGATATTGGTAAGTAATAGTGTCTGTCACAACTGGGTTGATTTCTGGACTTAGAGAAGACATAAAACAGGAAAATATGAGACTAAAAAGGAATATATTTTAGCTCTCTATGTCTCTGTATGTAGCGTTGTCTCCATTTTGTGTTTACAAGCAAGCTGTCTGATCAGCAGAATTGAGAAAGTGAATCGAAGGATTAATATAAGGGAAATTTAATGGATTCACATATAGAAAATTTAGGATAAATGATAACAATGGAAAATAATTTCTTTAAATAAGTTGCTAGATATCTTTATCAAGGAGGAGGGAGAAAACAAGGCGAGAGTAAATAAAAATATATTAGTTTAAAATGCACTTAAAAAAGAGAAAACCTTGCAGCTATGTACTTAAAAGCAGTTTGGAAAGGTTATATTTTTTAAAGCAATACACTAACTAGCTTATTTTTATATGTATTGAAGAAAATAACCTAAAATAGTATATTAATCATGCTTGTTGTCATAGACTGCAGCTGTGTCTCCGGACTACTTAATAATTACATAATAGTATAGCCTGGTGCTAAACCCTCTGGGACTCAGGGACTGCCATAAGGAGAGGGGAACACTAAGCAGGCAGAATTCTGATTGCTTCAGAAAAACGTCTGTGTTTATTTGTTTTACTTATTGGACTTAAGATCTGATATAGTCTCTCTGTGAAAATGCCATCTTCTTATTTGTTATTGTGTTTATTTGTTTAGCTCTTCTCCACTGGATGTTTACCCGAGGATTTACTTTGTATTTGTCATTTGACTAATGCTTATTGTTGTGGCCTGTAAATGCTTTCCAGTAAAAACACACATATTAAAATGAGACAACTCCCTGAGATAGGAGACCTCAGTTAGTTTGAGTGGGAGTAATGAGTTGAAGAGGGCTCATGGTAAGAAATCCTGAAATTCTATTTTCTCAACATTTCTTTGGTATAGGAATGCAAATTCAATGAATATTACTTCAAACAATAGATTTCCCATAACCCTTATGAGGCAGCTGTAAAAAATATCATTAATATGAATAAGTGTTTCTTATTCATTTAATCTTGATTAAAAAGAAAATGTAGGTTAGTGGGCAGGAGTATTTGCTTTATAATTAATTGATCTGGGTTCCTGCCTTGGTGGTGCCATTTATGAACTATAAGTACTTGAATGAAATATTTAACCTAACTAATGTGTATAATCTATAAAATAAAGAGAATAATTTACAAAAAAAAATCTGATATAGCCTTAATATGCTATGTACTTGTATATACCTTGAGAATATGGATAAATAGGTTAATCTAGTGATCTGTCTATGAAATTTTGGCAACCATGAGAATTTCAGGATTCATGAATTAAATGAATACTATATTATTCCTATTGGAGATAAAAAGATGGAACTGGAAGTTAAGAATAAAAAAGAAAATATAGATGGTAAATAGTAATAGATGTTTTTGAAATAAAACTTTGGGAGAAATAAGATGGATAGAAGGAAGTAAAGCAGAATGTTAGAACTGCAAGCAGATTATGTGTGAGAAAAACCAAGGGGTCTGGGGAGGAGAACGGAGACCCAGGACCCAGGAAGGTGAGGGCCTGGGGCCTGGGTAGGACATAGAATCAGAGTTTTAGGGAGTAGAAGTGGACATTCTTGAGTGGTCATGAAATCAGAAAAGCTTTGAAAACTAGGAAGAAGATGGAGTCCAGCGGGGGAAGAAGACATTACTCAAATCATCACAAAAATATAAAATTATGACTGTTGTGACTCAGTATACAAGGAGAAGTGAATGGTGTTGGTGCTGTGTGGAAGCAGTGGCCAACCTTGGACCTGGAGGAGCTGCTGTGCTCGGTATGCATGTTACTTCCAAGGGTGCCCAATGCCCACAGCCAGTGTGCTTTACCTCTCCCAAACTATTTAGAGTGTCACTCATTCTGAATCCTTGTATCAAGAGGGAGGCCTTTTATGACTTTGGCTGATTCTTAAGGCAATATCAGTGTGGTCCTACCTATTTGCTAGTTGGTACAAATCAGGGGACAAAAATGGGGGAGATAAATTCCCTCTTACAATTTTTTGAGACGGTTTCATGAGTCTGGGTAGATTTTCCATAGTCCAGTTCCAGATACATTATCATTTGTGAATCTAGGTGAATTAATAGGGAAGGAGATCCTGAAGAGTTTCTAGGATAGAAAATGGAAATTAGTTATAAGTACTTATTATTTCTAAGACAGAATTTTGGAATTTTCCGGAATCTGTAAGGAACTAATAGATTCATATTATTATGTTTAGTAATACCACAATGCTGAGCAAGTACATATTGAATTAATGAACAGGAAAATATTACATACAAGAAGCTTTGAAAAACCATAAACTTTCATTTCAGCACATTTATGATGCGATATTTCAACTAGAATTTTGGAAGACTTTTTTTTTTCTACATTAAGCATATGTTTTGTTTCAAGTTGGCATGTGGTCACTAATGTAAACCTTTTAACTTTCCTTTTATACAAGAGCTGTGAAGTAACAGGGGGAACTAATAACAAAAACCTTGATCTGAGTCCAATCTTCTCCACTTCAATGAACTGGTAATTCCATTCTTCCAGACGCTGATTCAATTAGTCAAGAAATCTCAGCTCTTTTTTTTTTTTTTTTCTTTACACTTCATTGTGAGTTCAGTGACTTCTAATCACCTGAGCTATTCTCTAGGTCAAGTCACCATTGTTCCTTATCTGGACTACTGCACTAGCTGATCTTGTGTTCGGCCTGCCCCATCCCTAGCCTCTTCTCCATTCTGTAGCTAGAGTGATTCTTTAAAAAGAAGTCAGGTCATGTCAGTCCTGCTCCCAGGCTTCCAATTTTTCCAGATACAATCTAAACAAAATACCTAAGGATCTTGCAGGATTTGGGCCCCTGGCTAGCCCTTTGATGCTATTTCTTTTTATTCTCCCTTTTGCTTCTTGCGTTTCAGCTATGTTAGCCTCTTTGTTATTCCTCAGACACCCCAGGCACCTGGGCTTTCACACTTGCCATAATTCTCTTGTCCTACGTGCTGTTCCACTGGATATCCATAGGGTTCATTTTTGCATCTCCCTTGAACCTTTGCTCAAATGTCACCTTATTAAAGAGGCTTTCCCAGACCACCTTATACAGAGTAGCACTTGCTTCCATCTGTCACAGTCTGTCCCCTCATCCTGGTTCACTTTTCTTTAGAGCACTTATTACCTGATGTGTAATATACTACATTTCTTTGTCTCTCTCAGTATAATGTAATTTCCATGAGGGAAGAGATTTTCATTTGTTTTTTGTTTTGTTGTTGTTCATTGCCATATCCTTAGCACTTAGAACAGTGCCTGGCATATAGCAGGTCCTCAAGAAATATTTTTTGAATGAATGAATCTTAAGTGCTTTGAAAGGAATAATTTTTATTAAAAAGATGTCCACTAGATGGCATGGCTTTCAGACTTTATGTAATTAATGTCTGGGAGCACAAGATAGGTTCTTTTCTGTTACTTGCTCTAACCAAAAAAGATCTTTGTGATGAAGATTGTCATAAGAAATTGCTACGATTAATGTGAGACATGTAGAATACTACATTTATATTTGGTTTTCATTTTATAGATTTTTAGCTATCTTTTCCAAAATAACATTTGAGGAAACTTATGGAATTTTACAGCCTATTGGTATGTGAATTACCATCTGTATAGTTATTTAGCATGGTAACTGTGGTTATTGTTTTTATCTTTGTGCACAGTTTTTCGGTTTATAAGGATGGATCCTAAGTTAGTTCAACTCATTGAGCTTGACCTCAAAGGCACCACCATCCCACTTAAACCTTTTGTCAAAAACCCTCTAAAAGTTTATTTTCCCACTGCCATCTCTGGTTCCTTAAAGTCAGTAAGTCTCTTCTAGTTTACTTCATACTAAACCAGATAAATTAAACATTTTTAGAATGATAAGAAAGAAAATACTCCCATTGCCTAATAATGGAATATCTGATATCTTTTAATATCTAGATGTTTTTGTCATCAGCAAGAGTTGTGGCCTCTATACTTCATGGTGTTAGAGATTTTACCACTAAA